ATGGTGCTTTCCTTAAATAACTCCACTCTTACTGAAACGTGCTGCATGCCTGAAACTGAACCTGAAACTCCTTACGCAGCAGTTCATGGCTGGAGAGAGTAGAGTCACAAGATTATGAACATGTAAACCCCAGCCATTATCCCTGCACGCAAAGGCGGATTAGGAGTTGCATTAGCAGTTGTAGGAAGGTCTGTGGAGCAATTATTTCATTCCTCCAAACAGAATTAATTCCTACCCTAGCACAAAGTTTTAGGATGGATGAAACTGATTCTGTGTTGCATTCAGGCTTATTTGATCCAGTTCTCAAAATGACTGTTTCTCTACCTGAGTGTGGGTAATTCTTCTCCAGCTTTATATGATGGAGCTGGAGGCCAGTTGTGTGATTCAGTTGCCCTTAATGATGCTGGTTTTAAAGGACAGCTGTAAAAGAAACTTGCTCTGGGATGTACATGGTGGTCTTTGATTCTGCAGACTCCAGCTCAGTGTCTGGGATGGCTCTTTCCTATCCTTGTGCCTCCTCCTCTCTTGCCTTGCAACATTAATTCCTCCAGAGCCTCGTTCCACTGCCACCTTCACCACTGGCACATCTTGCATTCCCTGAACACTTGCTAATGAGCAGGAGCAGCCTCTGCTGAGCTTCTCATTGAGCTAATTGCTGCTTTGCTCAGGCAAGGGACTGTTTAGAGCAGCTGCTTCTCTTCTGTCCCCAGCCATTTCTCCCCCATCCCTGGCCACTTTTTATGGGTTCTTCCATAAACTTGAAGAGTTGTGGGCCATTGGGTTTTCTAACCTGACCTCTGTCAAACTTTGATATGATGACAAGGTGGGAGGATTTGATGCTGGCCTTGTCTAATATGTTTTGCAGGGTTCCACTTCTGTAGGCTGCAGCTTGAAAAGAGATCTTCCATTATCCCATCTTTCAAGGTTTCTCTTCCTTGCTGTCACTTCTCTCCCATGTTGACATTGCAGCTGAGTGAGCATGCTCACTTTGTGTTTCATGAGTGTGCTTCTTGGTGTTTCATTTAGCCTTGTCTAGTTGTTTCACCTAGTTGCTTTATTTTTCCTAAATATTGCCCAGATTTAATAACAACCCCACATATTTCTTTTGCCAATTCAAGGTTTTCATCATACTGGTGTGTTTCAGAGAGTACCACTAGTAACCTCATCCAGGCTAGCAGAGCATATCTGCTCTGTCTCTTCTCTTTCCACAGAAATCCAAAACTGTTCCCCAACTCATGCATTACCATACCTCTGCCTTCTCTCCAGCTTTTTCTCGGCTGGAGTCACCTTGGATTCCTTATTGCATCTGCAGAATGACTGGGCTGTTGTCAAATTGCAGATTTCGTAAAATACTGCTTTTCTTTTTCAGGTGTGAATCAGGATATACTGGACAGCACTGTGAAAAGACAGACTTTAGTATTCTTTATGTTGTCCCAAGTAGACAAAAGCTTACGCATGTCCTTATTGCAGCAATAATTGGAGCTGTACAGATTGCCATTATAGTTGCAATTGTCATGTGCATAACAAGGTAGGTAAAGACAAAAAGAGAAATTAAAAATGGCACATTGTATGGATGTACTTTTTCTGTATTTAAATATTTGACCCCCAAAATTTTATGTGCTTTAACCTGTATGCTAAAAATACCCACATTAAAAATACCTAGTGACTGAAGCAGAAGGATTAAGTAGCATCCAATTGCTTTCTGCTCCCCCTCCCCCACAAAACACACATTTGTTCATAAACCACTAGTAACCACTCTGAATCCCCAGACCAAATACCCAGCAGAACAGATCAGCCTTGAAACACATCCAAAAGGTTAGCCACTGTGTTAGACCTTCACTGCAGTTATTCAAGCATTGCTGATATCTTATAGAAGCTATGTTCCCCCTCCCATCCAGTGAAACCAGAGAGGTTGACATGATGCTATTCCCTGCAGTACCGCTGTAAATGGTGTTACACAGAGAGAAGTATCCCTCACACCATATATGCTTTCTGAAAATTAATATGCAGCTACTACCATTCTTAGGCTCTTATTGGGAATTTGTTCTATGAAACATAAAGATGCAGAAGCAGAGTTCAAGTTTCTGGGTTGTCTCAGGCTCTTACCCCCAGTGAAAACTGAGATGGGAGCCGTAGCGTTTTTTTGATGACGAGGGATTCAGTTTGCTCATCAAAGACTTGAACCCAATGAGGACTGAGGACTCTGGCATGGATGAAGGATGACTTAGTTACCTTATAGATGCATGAAGCCTCTAAGTCCTACACTTGGTCATCCATGCCATACTTTACCTTTTCCTTCTCAACTTGTCCTGCACTTTTTCAACTCCAGTTACACTGGGCCATAAAACTTTGTGCTGCTGCATTAGTGCCTGGCTTCCCAACTTCAGTGAGGTAAAGTGACACTGCTATGAACACACAGTATAGGCCTCCTTCCCTACCTCTCTTGTAAGGCTCAACGTAACAGGTATAAATACACACACCCAGCACTTGCACATGTAAAAGAGTTATTTAGGTCATGCAATTGATGTCATCCCTGTTTTACGTGACACCCTGCTGCCCAAAGCAGTGGTGTGGAAGGCTGTGGTTCCTCAGCCCTCCTCTTTCAGCCACCTTACAACCATTCCCCAGCTCAAAGGCTCTTGGAGACAGTCTGTCTTGTTGTATTCCAACAGAGATGCTACATTGTGTAACATCCAGTGTCTGACAGGATGAGGAAGTTCCATCCTGTTCAGAATTGCTGACTTTTGTGAATCCTCTATTAGTTGTGTGTCCAGCCCCAAGAAAGGGATCTCCCAAGTCACCGCTCAGAGATTCCTGTGTTGGCTCTTTCTCAGGGGTTGCCACAAACAGCAGAGCACCTGCAGGTCCAGCACTGGCTAGAAGGCTAGTTCCTCCAGTCTAACCATCCAATGGATTTCAAGTATGAGATACGTACAAAGTAAAGCCAAAGTAAAACCATTCATCATGGTATGTATTTTGCTGGCTGAAGGAAATAGCACCTTGCTGGTTTTGGTCTCAAGTTCAAGCAGAACTTCCTTCTGAATGGTCTGGTGTCCCACTGACATCCCCAGGTGACAGTCTGGTACCAAACAGCAGGAGCATGTCCCCCCAAGTCAGCACAAGCTCATAGACTCCTTGCTGTTGTTAGGTGCAGAAAATTAAGTCACTGTGTTCTTGCTAGGCTTAGTTCTATGCAGCATATATAAAGTCAGCTCTCCTTTTTCTTTCTATCTCTCTTTTCCTCACAGAAAATGCCCCAAAAACAATAGAGGACGTCGGCAGAAGCAAAACCTAGGCCATTTTACTTCAGATACATCATCCAGAATGGTTTAACTTAGTGGTTTTTATACCTACATTGACCATGTGATGTACATTTTTATTATATCTTTTTTTAAAGAATGGAAATATTTATTTCAGAGGCCTTATTTTTGAACATTTTTAGTGTAACAATGTTGGTCTGTATTCTGAAAGCATCAGCTCTGACAGCTATGGACTGTTTTAGTATCTTTCCTTTTATGTTTTTGAATACAGTAGTTCAGTTTCTGTATCTGTATCACATGGTTATATAATAGACTTGTGCTTTATCCATGGAATGTAATATTTTTGGGAACACAGATTTATTCCACCAATGGTTGTAGATTAAAACAAAACAACAAACCAACAAAAAAATCCACGTTACCTAGCAAACAAGGCATGAACTAAAGGTAAAAATGTTTACAGCTTACTTTTCTTATGAGAAACTAGAAAACACTGTGTTTAAATACCGTAGATATTTAAATGTTTTTGGAAGTTAGTAACTGATTTTTTAGACACTGCCTATCGCATGAACTGTGAAGCTGTGTGCTGTGTGTAGTTGTAACATATTTATAAAACGTGAAGGCTGGGTCTAAGCACTGCCATCTTCATAAATAATCCCAACAATTTATTTTTAAAGGGGAAAATTATTAATGTCATAATTTGGGAAGTTACCTGATAGACCGGATGGCACAGGTCCAAAAGAAGTAGGTCTTAGTAGTTTTAGGTATTGTAAAAATTGGTGCTGAATAATTGAACACAAAGAATTGGAATAAAGCCTACTTTATCACTGTTAAAGCTGTTTTAATACTTCTTAAACTTTTTTTAAAGAAAATACATGTTTTAACACCTACAATACAAATTGTATAGTGTTTGTGATTAAAATAAATAAAAAAAATAATAAAAGAGAACGAGTTATTAGTGCTCTTGCAGAGAAGTGTATTTTCAAGAGCTAAAGAAGTCCATCCAAATTAGTCTGCTGGTCATAGTTATATTAATAGACTGTTAGTTGTTGTTTGAAAGATCCCGAGATAAAAGTGTGAATAGGGTGTGTTCAGATGTTTTAACATGTAGTTTAGGCTTTCAAAATTTTGCATGTAGGATTTAATAATTTGTTCAATAATAATAATTAAAAAAAAATGCTTTCAACGTTTTGAACTGGAAAAGCATGTCACAATACAACGTTTTCACTATATTGCCTCTGGTTTAGTGTGTTTATTTGTTACCCCATGTGGTAATTGCAGCAAGCTGAAGACCTGAAGTTGTTTTGCTGGGAAAAAAACAACCATGTTCATTTTCCTGACCACTCTTTGAATTCCCTGTGAGGAATGCACTCCAGTAACAAGAAAGCAAAAGCAGATTGTTAAAAATATGCAGGTTTGCTTTCCTGCTTAATTAGTAAGTTACTTAACTTTCCTGGATTAACACTAATAACTTCATCAGCAGAGAAGCGTGACCCTCTAAACGTATGTTCCTTTCCAGACATTGCTTCCTAATTTTAGGGGTTTCATGTTGCTGCAAGTATCCGAACAATCCTGTGTGGATATTCTGTAGTCAGAACTATGTGACCGAGCTCCAGGAGTGGTGTTTCACGCCCTCCTTTGAGCGCCGCCAGAGCCAGCTGTCACCCTGGCTCCCCGCAGCAGCAGCGCCAGAACCGCTCCGGCAGGATCACCTCAGCTTCTCCTGCCGCCCTCCCGGCCGGAGGCAGGCGGAATGGAGCGCTGTGAAATCACCTCAGAGGCTGACAAGACCCACCAAAACCGCCTCTCCAGCGTCACGGAGGAGGATGAGGAACAAGATGCAGCTTACACGATTTTGACGGTGCTGGACAAAGTGGCCAACATTGTGGACAGCGTACAGGCAAGCCAGAAAAGGATAGAGGAGAGGCACCGGGAGATGGAAAACGCCATCAAGACCATACAGATTGACATTCTGAAGCTCGCCCAGGCTCATGGCAATACAGGCTACACGGTGAACAAGTTGCTGGAGAAAACCCGCAAAGTCAGCTCCACCATGAAGGAGGTGCGGGCGCGCGTGGAGAGGCAGAGCGCCAACGTGCGGAAGGTGGAAGCCAAACAGCAGGAGATGCTGAGGAAAAACAAATTCCGGGTCGTAATCTACCAGGTAACCATCAGCCTCATTTCTTGTCATGCTGTCCTTGTGCCACCTCCTTGGTAGCCACTGGTGTGTTTTGTGCTTTCTTTTACATGACATTGTGCTCCTCGCTGCCTTCTGCATGAACCTACTGATGGCAGCGCGCACGGTCTATTATTAGTGTTGGTAGGTTTCTGAGCCAGTCGTGTAAGATTAACTGCAGATCAGCAAGGACTATTTGTTGCCTCTCTGAAAGGTAATATGAGGGAGGCCCTGTAAATCTTGTCATACAAACCATGCCTGACATTCATCCCTGTTATTTTTTTCACCGTATTAGGTAGGAGTCTACATAGCAAAAGCATTTGGAGGCTCTCTGGAACACAGTCTTTCTTCTAATGCTAACTTCAAAACATACGGTTGAAGTTGCAGCATTACCCTGACTGTTGTATTGCTGCCAACTTGTCTCAGTCTAGAGCAGTATATGCACAAACTGAAGCTCAGACCCACAAACCCTTCATGAGAGCAAACAGTACCTTGCTTGCTCTGCTTTGGAAATGGTTTTACCCAGCACTCTTCTATTGGGCTAGCAAATCTTATTTTTTTGTTTACTGACCTCATTGTAGGATGTTCCTTGTTCTTATAAACTGTTGTGTTTGAACAGAAGTTTCATGAAATGGCGCAGTCTCGCCTACATCCATACAAGCAGACAGCACAGGCAGTTTGTGGGCTCTGTCAGTTGCTAGTGAGTGCTATGAAACCCATTTGTTTCACAGCCTGAGCTTGCCATTTCCCAGTTCCCCAGGTCAATAGAAAATAACACTGTTTCATCTTTTGCCAGAGGCATAGTTTGCCCTTCATACCCGCGAGCCCCCAAAGCTTCTTTCTAACGAGTTGTATTCATCATTAGGCGTTCTTGAAAATACCAGCCCTCGTGGGTAACATGATGCACCCCCAGCACCCAGCCTCACACCCTGGTCTTGCATCTGTTTGTACATAAATAACATCACTTGCAATGAATGGAGCTGTGTGTTTCACCATAGCTGACAAATGCTTCTGCATAATCAAGCTTTCTTAACTACTTCATTTTCTACTATTGGGAAAAAAAAAAACTTTTGGAAAGCAAAAGAACTAAAACCAAAACCAAACATTGCTGAAGGTAGGAAATGTTACCTCTTTAATGTTATGTTGGTACAAAATGTGCCTCCCAGAATTTCTAACTGATTTACTATGGATGTTCAGGAGAAAGCATGGGCACAATTTGGCCTGTTATTACAATTATTGCAATCCCACCATTATGATGGAATAGAAAACAAGCACTTTGCTTTTTCCTTGCAGATAATTTCCCAGCTAAAGGTAATAAATATCTCTGACTCCCCTGGTTAATGGCATAATGCTGTTTCATTGATGGGCCTTTACCATAATGTTTTGCATCAGAATCAATGCTTTGAAAATGTTTCTTCTTAAAACAAGGGTTTTCACACTCTTGATTTATGCCAGTGCAGGCATCCTGCTAGTGTGCCAAGACCTGCATGTCTGAAGCTTGGCTACGATCAGTGGGTGTCTGTTAATAGCTACAGAATCAGAGTACTCTCATCACTATATTTTACAAATGGGTATAACCAAGTTGTTTACTTGGTGGTTGTGAGTGACAGCTCTCTGTAGTGAGATTTTTTTCTGGTGAACCACTGGGGATATTGTGATAAAGCCAATGACCTGCGTGTAGCTGACATTAAATGCCTACGTGGGTGAGTACACGTGGCTTTTAGCTTTAACTTTTGCCAGAACATAGACATACAAGGAAAAGGGAAATACCAATTAAATCCTAAAGATTTTCTTTCAAGTGGATAGCTTTGATCTTATCATTTGATGGAGTAGGAAGGATGAAAAGGATCATTGGCTGAAGAAGATTGTCCCAAGAGGCCTCAGCCATGATGAAAGTGTTGGCAATATCCTCGCATTAAAAAGAGACAAAGTGATCATCCATGAGCATAACGATTAGGGAAATTGAGAGCATTGGCTTTTAAAAGGCCATATTGTTGAGGAAAAGCTTTGGTAGCAGGCAGCTCTCCTCCTCAGGCTGACTGCATGATTAAACATGCCAGGTTACTTCAGACTTTCTAGGGAGGTCTGTGACCCTGGCGTGCTGTGTGCCCTGAGAGTATAGGAGTGAATGCAGAGGACGTTACAGGTTGTGCAGGTCACTGTTCGCTTCTGTTCAGGTTAGTCAGAGCAGCCAGCTGTGAGAGCTATCATTTCTCTGCAGTCAAAGAGCATCTAGCAATTCAACACATTCTGACTAAATTATTCAGAAATGAAAGGGGAGTTTCCTTTTTTTTTTTTTTTCTTTTTCCTCCCTAGTTCTGAAAGAACTTTTTTCATTTGCTCTTCTGCACGTTCTACAGATCTCCCTTAGAATGTGAGTTTGCAGTCACCAGAAAGTCCATGTTATAGTTACTGGGCTCTTTTCTATTATTACTTTATTTAAGCACCTTAAACAAGTACAACCTTCCTGTGAAGGGGCACATGCATTTCTTTCACTCACTGCTGTCTGATGTTTAAAATTAGTGGACAGTCACAGTGGACGTGTCAGAAACCAAGTAAGGTTATGGCTTGACTGGCCCACACAGCCGTGTTTCAACTGACCTGTTTGCACTGCAATTGCTCCAGCACACACATGAGGAGGGGCTAGCAGAAGCAGCCTTTTGAATGCCATTCATATTATGCATAAATAAATTAAAATATAAGTGGCTTATTCTGGCCACTGTCCTCCTGCAGCATAATGGCTTTGATAGTAAAAATAGTGACATCAAGATGGGGACAATAGTCTGCAAACCTAAAGTGGAAACAGTTCCATCCGAAGTGGCAGTAAATACCCAGGTTTTACAAGCTCAGGAGATGAGGTTGCAAATCCAGATGCTGAAACACCTGATGCACAACAGTGTGTCCATCAGCAGAATTTTAGTTGCAGCTATTCTGAGAAAAACCTGTGAAAGTAACCATGACATGAAAGGCAGCAAATATAACACTTCTGTTAAAAAAACAAAACAAAACCAAAACAAAATAAAGTATTTGAAGCATTACTATTGATCTGATACCATTTGGGCATAGAAATGGTAGGCTCAGAAGGGGCTCTGCAGAACAGGATTGTTAGTGCCATGGAGTTAAATAGCTCACTAAAAAGCTCACCGTATTGTGCTAGGTAACTCATATTTGAGCATTTTTCTGTTTCACAGAAACAGGAGAGATCTTACCCTTTCTCATATTTATATACCTGATGTCTTAATTCAGATAACCTGGAAAAATAACAGTTAACAGTGGATTGTGCTGAAATGGGAAGTGAGGCTTGCGATGGGTTTCTAGAAGGGTTTGCCTCTAAGACTGTCTTTATCAACTGTAATATTTTCATTAAAGACCTTGGCACAGAAAAAGATGTGGATACTAATAAAATATGCTAGAAAGAAGGAACTGTCACTCCAGAGAAAGAAATACAGACAAGAAACCAAATCATCTTTAGATCTGGAGTAATTCTCATCTAAGCGTACGCAGTGTCAGTTCCTGTACTTAGCAAAGCCCTTGTAGTTGGCTTGTCTTCTGAGGCCACATGGTTTGGAAAGGACAGAAAATGGTGTGTTAATTGCTCACAAGATGACCAAGAGCCCACTTGATGGTGTGGCTCTTAAAAAAAGTGATATGTGGGTACGAAATGCTTCAGGCAAAGTATTTCCAGAAGGGGTAGGGAGAGACTGGCGGTGCCTTTGCCCCAAACGCTTCAGAACCCACCTGGACTACCATGTTCAGCTCTGAGCCCACCTGTTGGAGTAAGTTGTGTTCAAACTGAGCAGGTTTGAAAAATGACTACCAGAGCTACCAAAGGAATGAAAAACCCTGGTGCATGGGAGGAGATAAGGAGGCCCCAGCTTGGTTTAGTCCAGCAAGAGGAGAGGCTCAGAGAGGTTGTGGCTGTCATTTATACATATGGATGGGGGGTGAAGTAAAGACCATTGGCAAGAAGATTAAATAGGTGTAAACTGTTCATGAGTCAGCCCAAGCCAGAAACCAAAAATGGGTTCTTAGTCCTGGAGACATGAGGGTCTGGCTAAAGCCTTCTGCTAGAACACATGGAGAGAAGGGAAAACCTAATTTGCAGTGAAAGCGGAGTCTGGATGCTTCCTGGAGAAAAGGTGACTTAGGTTGACTGCGTGTGACAGCAGAGCACTGGCCTCACCCACAAAGGCCTCAGCAGCCCAACAACACAGAGCCTTTGTCAGAGTATTGTGGCATAAAACTTATAAATATTTTTACACCTGGAACAGGTAATTGCCTTTGCTGAGATTACAGAGAACAAAAGAAACCCAAGGGTTGTGCCAGAGAATGTAGCAAGAGTCCTTTGTTTGCAGTGTCAAGCCCAGTCCTTCAGTTCAAAGCACTGAGCTGTCCCCATGCTGTGCAGTCACCACTGGCACAGTGGCAGAGCCAGCAATGGAGTACTGGGGGCAGCCAAGAAAGCCATAAAATACCTGTGATTTTTAGAAAAAAGGTGTATCTTTTTCAGCCAGCTAAAGCAAAACCATATTTCTAGGAATGTGTTCACAAGGAAAGAGGAGAAAAGGAAATTTAAAAAAATAAAAAAAGAAGCTTTTGGGCCATTTCTGTGTTCCTAAAATGAAATAGGCTGCATATTTCACAATTAGACAGTTGCTATTGATAGCAATTATATACTTGATGCTGCACAAATTGATCTGGTGCAACTGGAGTCCCCTGATCTGTTCCTTTGTGGTGATCCTCACAAGGGACAAGCAGGCAGCTGCTCAGGGCTGCCATTGATTTTTCTCCCCCTATTAGCACTGAGTGGTGGAAACAACTGATAGTAATTTACATTTGCACTGAATGCAGTTGTTCAGCATTTTGCTTGTGGTTGGCCTGCAGGCTAGCAGAAGAGTATAGCTACATCATGAGCCTCTTGTGTCATGCCTCTTCCCCACGGTCCTAGAGGCTGCCTGGAGTGACTTATCGACCAGAGCTGTGGCCAC